TGTTTATTTTCATTCATTATTCCCTTTATAGTTATTATGGCTATTACTATAGTTGATGTTTTGTATAAATAATGTAAGAATATTGTTTATAGCTCCTGCAGTTACCATTAACGATGACATTGTTCTTTTCATTCTGTAGAGAGAAACCCCTCGCTCTCTACGTGTTCTCCACCAAGAAGGACCGACAGGAAATGTTCCTGAGACAAGTGCCATGCGGAGGGGTCACTCTTAATGACACTATTTTCCATGTTGCGAGTGAGTCTTGCTGATCTGAGTGCATGGTGTACACCGTTGATATATCGAATGGTGATTATATAATATATCTTACCCCTTCTCTTTTCCCTTTTTCTTATTTCCATTTACTGTTTACTTTGACCTTTCCGTTTCCTTTCCCTTTCCCCATACCCATTCCCCTATCCCATCCCTCTCCCCCTCCCCCTCCCCCCACCCCCTCCCCCTCCCCCTCCCCCTCCCCCTCCCCATCCTCATCCCCATCCCCTTCTTCTCCTCCTTCTCCGTCTTCTACTTCTCTTTCTTCTTCCCCTTCCCCTTCCTCTTCCTCTTTCCCTTCCCCTTCCCCTTCTCCTTCCCCTTCCTCTTCCCCTTCCCCTTCCCCATCCCCATCCCCATCCCCCAACCTCTTCCAATTTCCTTTCTCATTCCATTCCCATTCCAGGCACCGACCTTCCTTTCGGAGGAGTGGGCAACAGTGGTATGGGGTCTTACCACGGCAAATACACGTTCGACACTTTCACTCACAAGAAATCCTGTCTGAGCAGAAGTTACAACTCGTTCATTGACAAGGCCATGCAGTAAGTATCTTGGAGGGGGAGAGATAGAGTAAGGAGTGTAAGAGTCAGAATCAGTGTGTGTGTGTGTGTGTTAGAGAGAGAGAGAGAGAGAGAGAGAGAGAGAGAGAGAGAGAGAGAGAGAGAGAGAAAATAAGAGTAAGCGTGAGACTGAGAGAGAGAGAGAGAGAGAGAGATAGATAGATAGATAGATAGATAGAGAGAGAGAGAGAGAGAGAGAGAGAGAGAGAGAGAGAGAGAGAGAGAGAGAGAGAAAGAGAGATTAGACGCGAAACTAAAAATAATGCAACGGACGCAAGGAATGAAAAGAAACCAAAAGAATTACAGATATAAATATACGTACATACACTGAACCAAACAAACAGATAAACCCAAAACAACACTCAGGTAAACACACACGAATATAAACAAAACATCGCAAACACACCCAGTTCATAAAGCCCATTTTCCCCCTTTTACAGATTCAGATTTCCGCCTTACACAGAGAAGGGCATAGAGGCAGTGACATCACTACGAGACAAAGGCGACGGACCTGGAGTTCTATATTACCTCAAGATCACCATGACCCATTTATTAAGCATGGGGTTAGGGGCACTTATACTCTACCTTGTTCTTCATTACGCCCAAGTTAGGGTCTAATGCTGGAAAACAAGGAATAAGTGCATAATGAAAAAATAAATATATATGTATGTGTGTAGAGGTTCGTGCGTGTGTTTATATATATATATCTTTATATTTTTGTGGTTTTGTATGTGGAATATTTTTGTTTTATATGAATATATATATATATATATATATATATATATATATATATATATATATATATATATATATATATATATATATATATATATGGTCATAAAGTTGAATCCAATTTTGAAGAGAATGTGTGTACTGGTCGTAGAATTATTGATCTTATAAAATCTACAATAAATATTTGTTGAAACGTTTCTGTGTATAACTTCACCTATCTTTATAGAGTTAAATATAACTGATGTATATTAAATGATTCTTAATATGTAAACAGGCAAGAAATAGTAACAGATTTTGAGTAATGGACTATTTACGTTTGCATAATTATAATAGCAGTACTAGCATAATGATAACCGTGATAGAAATGACGATAAAAAACAAAAGTAATAATAGTGATAATAGAGGTGCAAAGAATATTGATAAGGCTATTGTTAGGAATGATAATACTAATAACAGTAATTATGCTGCTGTTGCTGCTGCAGATGATGATGATGATGATGATGATGATGATGATGATGATGATAACTGTAATAATGATAGCAATAATGATCATCAGGAAGTAGAGCGTCTCAAGATTAGATTTAATTGCTACACAAGACCAACATTATAGTCTAACTTTAAGGAAGTACTTTAGTTACCCCTATAACATTGCGATATACAATTTTCTTTTATCAATACTACATCTACTGTTTCCACAGAAAGCACAGTTACTAGACTTATTAATCGAAACATGAATTTTCTTTGCACAAAACCTATTAGACGCCAGCGTTGCCACCTGGTGCAGCACTTAAAACAAGATTATATAAGAGTTTTTTTTTTAATGCACAATATTTTGTAAGATAATTTCAGCTCAACGGATTTATCAAAATCACTTACAGTATAAACCATCAAAATGTATTTTTCTATAGCCCAGTCATCTATTCATAACCCAACCATCTATCTTATATACGCAATGCAGACTAAACTATGAACAAATAAAATACTATCCCCCATATATAACAATATTCAAAGAAAATGAAAGCGTTTCATTATACTCATAGAAAACGTTTTTATAGGGAATACTTCTCCTTTGGATTAATTCAGCCTCTAGCAGAGAAAACTAGTAAAGTGTAATAACAATTAATCGTTAAAGGGTCACTTATAGACCTACATGTTCGTGATAAGCTCCACAACAAAATTTCAAGTTCTTGCTGCTAAAAAGTAAAACATAACGTGAAAAGCGTTGTTTGATAAATTTTGCAGAAGAAATGGGTTATTGATGAACCGTGTTCAATATGAGAGACGTAGAAAAAAGTAGGAATGAGAATGAATGTCTTCATAGTGCAAAAGATATATTTGACCGGCTTCGATTATAAATTCGTCATGCATGTATTAGTGATATTACAGAGCATATATATCAGACATGAGCGGATATAATGGAAACCGGGCGAGTATATCTCTTGCACTATGAAGATATTAATTCTCATTCATAACTTTTCTGCAGATGGATTATTCTCTGTTTCATTGGTATTAGGTCGTAAAGGCAGTAGCTCGGATAGCTTAGGGCTGAAGATCTCAACAGCAATTTGAGAAGGTAGCAGCATTAAGGATCGATTAAAACTCTATTAGAACCATTATCGGTGTTGCAAATATTACAGTATCGGCTGCAAAAATATCCACTGAAAAAATACCATATATCCGTTTTTAATAATATTTGTTTTTGCTTCAGAAATGACTCATCAGATGATTTGCGATCCCCCTTCAGGACCCCCCCCCCCCCAAAAAAAAAAAAAAAAAAAAAAAAAAAACAACGAGCATCATCAAAACAGTCAAGAAACACTGGCCGACGTGTTGAAAAAAAGAAGGAAAGAAAGAAAAAATAAGTTACGGGTGTTCGCACCTGTTCACTTACCAAGGACAAAGTTGTGATTCGGTTCGCTGATTGCTGGAAAAGGGGGAAACCGAAGGAAAAGACCAGGAGAAGGATCATTCATGGAGGAAGATAAGACTTACAAAATATCCTTTGGCAGTAAACATCTGCAGTGAAACTTTAGACCGTTCTTATTCATCCAATTCACTGCAATGTCAATATTGTCTTTTTTTAACTGTTTCCTTTACACAACACGAAGAGACGATCATTCGACGCGGCATTTCACTGACTACATAAAAAGTTTTTAATGTTATTCCGAGAAACGAACTCGCTAATCCGAAAATCACCTTGCTGGGAAGATACAAAGGAATAGTTCACATTGACAATAAACAAGATAAAGACTAAGAAAAGAAATAGAGAGAGAAACAAGTACAGACAAGAAGATAGAGCAAGTGATTATCCTCAGAGTAACATGCAATGTCATGCAACGAAGACTGTGACTTGCAGTAAAGGGTAATATCCCTCAAAGTGTATTTATGTTGTAAATTAATGATAATATTCCAGTGGATTTGATAGTCATTTTACCTTCCTCTGCTTGTAATGTAATATTTTTCTGTATCTGCACGTTTATCTCTCTATCTGTCTATTTGTCTATTTATCCGTATGTATGTGCATGTGTGTATGTATTTATGTTTGTCTGTATGTATCCATCTATCTATTCATATGTAATATATAGAGATACATTGTCTTTCCCTCTTTCTCTTCTCGTGATTACGGCTTTATTCATGTATCATCATATATCTGCTATGTATCCTCGTAAAGGTTATTGATTTCATTTCGGTAAAGCAATTCAAGAGGTAGTGAACGCTGGCGAAAAGCAACCGTAGAGTTTTGTACGATTAACCACTATTCCTGTCTCACTCTCTCTGTCTGCCCCCCCCCCCCCCCCTCTCTCTCTCTCTCTCTCTGTCTCTTTCTCTTTTTCTCTCTGTCTCTGTCTGTTTGTTTCTGTGTGTGTGTGTGTGTGTTTCTCTGTCTCTCTGTCTGTCTGTCTGTCTGTCTCTGTGTGTGTGTGTGTGTGTGTGTGTGTGTGTGTGTGTGTGTGTGTGTGTGCATGTATGTGTCTGTCTGTTTCTCTCTCTCTGTCTCTCTCATTCTAACCATTTCCCATTGGATCATGGACACATACAACCAGGCAAATATAGGAAAGGGTTGAGTAACAGTAGATAAGAGAGAAGGAAGAGGAGATTAGAAAGGGGATGGAAAGGAAGAGAGAAGGATTAGGGAGAGGGGATGAAGAGGAAGAGAGAAGGGTTAAAGGGGAAAGAGGAGGGGAGTATGACTGATTTGTCCTTAATTGCTTGATCATTTGCATGTGAAAGGAATCGTCTATATACATTGTAGAACAACATTTATGATCCCTTCTAAACGTGGCGTCCATTTGTCTGTCTTTTTTTTAATTGAATTTCTTTCATTATTCAACAACTAAAAGGAATAATAGGAAATTATTTAGCCCTGCAGTACTCACTGGGCACACCCAAGAACCCGTTTATTTGCAAGTAAATGGACATATAGGTAAACGAATAAGATGATCTCAACAGATTTAATTTGCATAACAATTTCATAAAAATCTAAAGAGCATATTTTTATATTATATGTATAGAAGTTTGAGCCTTGACAACCTTAACAAATTTATATAAATGAATTACTTGAGGCAATAAAACAAACACACAACCATAAAAATAAAAATAAAATCATCTGTAGTTGTGTATCATTTAATTTTCTATTTCATTCATTTTACTTTTACGTTGATATTTACCGTTACTGTTGTTGTTGTATTTTATGAACTAGCCTCACCAGTTTTACTTATCAAGCAAACCAACATTTCCGAGATCGGGGACATGTGGTATGGCCGCCCTCAGATCA